GACAAAGCCAGTTACTATAATGAAATTGCAAAGACCTGGAGTTAGAAAACCCAAAGAGAAGAACATACTCAGCATTTCTCAAGCTGAAAGAACTCAGGAAAAAATTTAAGACTCAAGTTGCAATATTGAAAGATTCTATGGGCAAAATATTGAATGATGAAAGAAGCATCAAAAGAAGATGGAAGGAATACACAGTGTGCCAAAAAAAAAAAAAAAAAAAAAAACTGGTTGATCTTCATAGATTTCAGGAGGTGGCATATGTTCAAGAACCAATGGTATTGAGGGATGAGGTTGAAGCTGTGCTGAGGGAATTAGTGAAGAACAAGGCTCCAGGAATTGAAGGAATAGCCATTGAGATGTTTTAACATACGGATGCCCCTCTGGAGGCACTCACTTGGTTATGCCAAGAGATTTGGAAGACAGCTACCTGGCCAACTGGCTGGAAGAGATTCATATTTGTACCCATTCCAAAGAAAGGTGATCCCACACAAGTTGGAAATTATCAAACAATACCATTAATATCGCATGCAAGTAAAATCTTACTGAAGATGATTCAAAAACAGTCGCAGCAGTATATTGACAGAGAACTTCCAGCGGTGCAAGCTGGATTCAGAAGAGGACATGGAATGAGGGATATCATTGCTGATGTCAAATGCATCTTGGCTCATAGTAAAGAATACCAGAAAGATACTTACTTATGTTTTATTGAGTATGGAAAAGCATTTGATTGTGTGGATCATAACAAATTGTGGATAACATTGAGAAAAATGGGAATTCCAGAACACTTAATTGTACTCGTGAGGAACCTGTGCATAGACCAGGAGGCTGTCTTTCAAACAGAAAAAGGGAACACTGCATGGCTTAAAATCAGGAAGAGAGTGCATCAGAGTTGTATCCATTCACCATACTTGTTCAATCTGTTTTTGCTGTTAAGTGCCATCGAGTTGTCTCTGACTCATAGTGACCTCAAGCACCGCAGAATGAAACACCACTCACTTCTGAGCCGGTTCCAGGATTCTTGCTACACTTGAGCCCAAGGCTGCCGCCACCGTGTCAGTCCACCTCGTTGAGGGCCTACCCCTATTTTGTTGATCCTCCACCTTAGCTAGCATGACATCCTTCTCCAGGGAGTGGTCACTTCTGATAACATGACCAAAGTATGTGAGATGAACTCTGGCCACTCTCGCCTCCAAGGAGCATTCTGGATGCATTTCCTCCGGGACAGATCTGTTCATTATTTTAGCAGTCCATGGTACTTTCAGCATTCTTTAACACCACAGCTCAAAAGCATCAACCCTTCTTTGGTCTTCCTTATTGATCGTCCAGCGCTCACATGCATATGAGGCAATTGATACTACCATGGCTTGTGTCAGGCGCACCTTAGTCCTCAAGGAGACATCTTTGCTCTTCAGCACTTGAAAGAGTCCTTTGAAGCAGATTTACCCAGTGCTATACATCATCTGATGTCCTGACTACTGCTTCTATTGGTATGGATTGTAGAATCAAGCAATGTGAAGTCTGACAATTCCAATCTTTTCTCCATTTATTGTAATGCTGCTTATAGGTCCAGTTGTGAGGATTTTTGTTTTCTTTATATTGAGATATAATCCATACTGCAGATTGTATTCTTCAGTCTTCATCGGTAAGTACTTCAAGTCATCCTCACTTTCAGCAAGTAAAGTTGTGTCATCAGCGTATTGCAGGTTGTTAATGGTTCTTCCTCCAATCATGGTGCCACGTTTTCTTCATATAGTCCAGCTTCTCAGATTATTTGCTTAGCATACAGATTGAATAAATGTGGGGAAAGGATACAACCCTGACACACTCCCTTCTTGATTTTAAGCCATTCAGTGTTCCCTTTTTCTGTTTGAACGGCAGCCTCCTGGTCTGTGTACCGGTTCCTCATGAGTTCAGTTAAATGTTCTGGAATTCCCATTCTTCTCAATGTTACCCACAATTTGTTATGATCCACACAATTGAATGCTTTTGCATGCTCAATAAAACACAAGTAAACATCTTTCTGGTATTCTTTACTTTGAGCCAAGATGCATCTGACATCAGCAATGATATCCCTCATTCCACGTCCTCTTCTGAATCTAGCCTGCACCTCTGGAAGTTCTTTGTCAATACACTGCTGCAACCGTTTTTGAATTATCTTCAGTAAGATTTTACTTGCATGCGATATTAATGATAATGTTTGATGATTTCCAACTTGTGTGGGATCACTTTTCTTTGGAATGGGTACAAATAGTATCTCTTCCTATCAGTTTGCCAGGTAGTTGTCTTCCAAATCTCTTGACATAATCGAGTGAGTGTCTCCAGAGGGGCATCCGTATGTTGAAACATCTTAGTGGGTATTCTGTCAATTCCTGGAGCCTTGTTCCTTGCCAGTTCCCTCAGTGTTGATTCAACTCAATACCATTGGTTCTTGAACATATGCCACCTCCTGAAATGGATGAAGATCGACCAGTTCTTCTTGGTACAGTGACTCTGTGTATATTGCTTCCATCTTCTTGGATGCTTCCTGCATCATTCAATATTTTGCCCATAGAATCTCAATATTGCAACTTGAGTCTTAAATTTTTTCCTCATTTCTTTCAGCTTGAGAAATGCCGAGTGTCTTCTTCCCTTTGGGTTTTTTAACTCCAGGTTTTTGCACATTTCATTATAGTAATTGGCCTTGTCTGGTTGAGCTACTCTTTGAAATCTTCTGTTCAGCTCTTTTATCTTGTCCTTCATTCCATTTGCTTTAGCTACTCTTCGCTCAAGGGCAAATTTCAGAGTCTCTTCTGACCTCCATTTTGGTCTTTTCTTTCTTTCTCATATTTTTAATGACTTCTTACTTTCTTCATGGATGATGCTCTTGATGTCATTCCACAGTTCTTCTGGTTTTCGGTCATTGGTGTTCAGTACGTCAAATCTATTCTTTAGATGTATGGTAAGCAAATAATCCAGGAAGGTGGACTGATTTTTAATGATTGATTTTGATATGATGTCTGTTTTTCTTCGTATTTTTTGTGTTTGGAATTGTTGAGAATCTTAGCTTTGTTGAGTTACTGTTTTCATCATATTTGGTAAGTTGTCATCCATTGTTTCTTCAAATATTTTTGTATATATTCCTCCAATTACATGTTAATCTGCTTGCAGTTCCACCACCCACTGAAGCTCTGTTCGTTTATTCTTTTTTCTCTTTTTATTACCTATTGCACAGTTTTCATTGCTATGTCTTCAAGTCTACTGTTCTTACTTTCTGTAATCACTGATCTGCTATTAGTCCCATTTTCATTCCTACATTGTGATTTTGATCTCAAGAAATTCATTTTGGGTGCTTTTTGTACCTTTCATTTTTCTACCTCAGTTTTTGAGCATATGGACTATAATTGTAAAAACTGCTAGTTCTGCCATCTGTGCCAGTTCAGGATCAGTTTAACTGATGGATATTTCTGCTTGTTAGTGGTCATGTTTTCTTGTTTATTGGCCTTCCTGGTAATGACTGTATGTTAAACATAAATTTTGTATTGTAAAAAATAAGAAAACAGTTGCTGTCAAGTCAGCTCTGACTCATGGCGACCTTGTGTGTGTCATAGAGAACAGTGCTCTTAGAGTTTCAGTGGCTGATTCTGGGCAAGCTGCTTATCAGGGTTTCTTCTAAGGTGACTCTGGGTGGACTTGAATCTACAGCCTTTCATTTAGCAGCCAAGTGTGTTAACTGTTTACACCACCAGAAACTTCAGTTTCTGCATTATCCAAAAAACCAAAACCAAACTCACTGCCATCGAGTTGATTCCGACTAGTAAGTGAACCCTCCTTGGATTTCCGAGGTGGTATGTCTATGGGAGTAGATTGTTCAGTCTTCCTTCTGAGGAGTGGTTCCGTTCATTTAAATGTTCTTGAGATTTGCTCTGGGACACAATTCAGGTTACTTTTAAACAGTTTGCTTCTTTTGATTCTTGCTGTTAAGATTTATTAGGTGGGATGAAAAAAAAAAATGTTTAGTCTGATTGTCTGTCACTCTTCAGCCAAGAAGGAGCACTGGTGGTATCATAGTTAAGCACTTATCTGCTAAATGAAAGGTTGGTGGTTCAAACTCTTCCCAGCACCACAATCTGGAAACACTGTCAGTGCATAAAGCTGGAGCAATTGTAGGGCACATTTATTTGTATCTCATTTCTCAGGGATCATTGTTTTTCATTGCCTGATGTCCAGTGTCTTTTCAATTATTGTTTTATATATTTTGTCCAGTGTTTTGGTTGTTCTCAGACACAATGGTAAATTTGGTTTCTGTTACTACATGTTAGCTTGTAGTGAAAGCTGGAATATTGAAATGTAAAGTTTAATGGTTGAGTGATCCAGGTGATGATACAGAGTTGGACCATAGGTATAAGTTAGGGCTTCAGATAGGCTTATTCCAACTCAACCCTCTGTTGATAATTTGCATTTCCACCCCAGATACACTGAATCAGAATCTACATCTTAACAAGATCCCCAAGTGATTCTTACGTATCATAGCCGATGGAGTGTTTGCATAGTGATGGAGTAGGCAAACAGGCAGTGGTACCCACTAAAAGATGGTGGCTGGCTGCACCACTTTGAATGGGTGTAGACTACCATCTTTGAGCAGGGCACCACTGCCTGTTTCCTGCTTGGGTCAAAATCCCACCCACAAGAGATTTAATTGCTGTGTGGTACATACACTCTGTCATCCATGACTGAACCATTTCAAACTGGTTTGAAGTCCTGGATAGAAAAGCTAATTCTTAGCTTGTGGTTGAACTGGAATGAACCAGTTTGAAGCCCTTGTATGAGTGGAGTAGAAATGTAAAGTTGTTGAATGGTTACTCCACATGACTTAGAAGTCACCTCAGTAGATTTGAGTTAGAGAGTAAGACTTTAAACCAAGAGCCAAAGTTGTGAAATTTCAATATACTAAACGTTTTATGTGTTTGGTTAGGAAAATATTATGTTAAAATTAGATTAATTTGTGCTGTCTTTTCTTCTAGAACCTTCTGATAACTTACGGGAGATCCTGCAAAATGTGGCCAAATTGCAAGGAGTATCAAATATGAGAAAGCTAGGCCATCTGAATAACTTTACTAAGGTAAGTAACTTGAATCTTTATTTATTTTGTCATCTAAAATTCTTTATTCCTAACTATACTTACTCATTGTTTGTCAGCTATGATTAGCAAGAAATTCTTGCGTGTTCATTCATTGTTAGTGTTTTCCTCTGCCACTTCTCATGGACTTTGCTATAGGTTTTTAAATTTTAAAATATACTTAAATAGTAAAAATATCACTTGTCTGTTGCAGAAAGTTTGGTAGATTACAGAGAGAAATACAGAAAAAAATTCACTGGGAAGTCCATAATTCAGTCTTAACTGTTTTCTACATAATGCTTTATTTCTTTTAGGAGCTCTGGTAGTGTAGTGCGTAAGACATTTGACTGCTAACCAACAGGTTGGCGGTTCAAACCCACCAGCCATTCCTCGGAAGGAAGGTTGGGCAATCTACTTCCAGAGAGATACCGCCTGGGAAACCCAAGGAGGAGTCACTGTGAGTCAGATCTGACTCAATGGCAGTGAATTTGGTTTTTTGGTTTTATTTCTTTTGCCTGTTTTCTAATCCTTTTTTTACTTGAGAATATGCAGTGAATATTAAGTAAATATGAAGTTCGTACATAAGTACGTGTGCATATTATATTTCATTTCAACTGCAATTCCCTGAGAAATATTAGAACTTCTTCTTCCTTCCCTTCATGCTCTTACTTCCATTATCTGGATCTAAATTACAACCAAAGGTAAATGTGGGACCCTAGTCCCAAGTAAATATTGAGTTGGTCTCCATTAATAGCCAGATCCTGAGTTTGATGTGTGGCATGGCCTGTTCTTGAGCCTGGTCATGCTGTACAGTCAACTCTTGGGAAAACTAAAATGCGTGTTATTTTAGGTGATGACATAAAATAGAAAAACGTAATGGATCCACTTTACAGCTTACCCCCTGCTATCAAGTCGATTCCAACTCATAGTGAGTCTAGAGGACAGAATAGATCTGCCCCATAGACTTTAGAGGGCTGTAAATCTACACAGAGGCAGATTGGCTCATCTTTCTCCTATGGAATATGGAGCAGCTGGTGGGTTCAAACTGCTGACCTTTTTGTTAGCAGCTAAATGCCTTAACTACTACACCAACAGAGCTCACTCTTTGCAGCTTACTAAATATAAATTGTTCTGCTGCATTTTTAACAGGGCACGATTTATGTTTAAGTACCTCAGTATTCAAAGTGTGATTTTCAGACCAACAGTGTTGACATCACTTTGAAGCTTGTTTGAAATGCTTTATTTTAGGCCAGACTCACTGCATAGAGATCTACATTTTAATAAGTATTCTCTGATGAATTTTAAAGTTTGAGAGGCAATATTTTAATCCTTTCAATATTTTATTTTGTTGCTGTTTAGTAGTTGGAGGGTGGCATATTTTTGATTTTATTCCATAAAAGGGAGAGTATGGAGTCACTGTATAACGAAATTATTTTTTAATTTTGATATTGTGTGATAAAGGAGCTTGATGAAACAGTGGTTAAGTACTCAGCCGCTAACCAAAGACTGTAGTGTGGCAGTCTGCTTCTGTAAAGATTAAAGCCTTGGAAGCCCTGTGGGTCAGTATTATTCTGTCCTGTAGGGTCATTATGAGTCAGAATCTACTCAGTGGCACACAACGACAACCACCACCTTGTACAGTAAATATAAAGGTTTTTTTTTTTTTTTTAATAGTTAGGGAAATAAGTACATATGAATCTAGTTTTCCTTAATGAAGTTTTAAAATATTCTAGCATTTCTATAAAAGGAATGAGAAAATGTAAGGAGTGATTGTTTTAAGAAAAACTTTCAAAAACTTTGAGTAAGTGTTTGTGAAAGGGCTTTCAGAAATACCTATATTTGTTTTTGTGAATGCAATTAAATTTTCAAATACCCTTTTTTCATTTGATATGCTAGTCAAATACTATAAAATCTTTAAAACTCAAAGTGTTCCAAGGTCACAAATTACATCTCCTGCTTTCATTCCATTTCCTAGTTTAATTTCTCCATTCTTTACTCAACTCAAATAAGCCTCACTACTTGCTTAAGTTTGATTGTTAAAGACAATTTTAAGTGTTCTTTGTCCTGTTTGGATTCATGGTTATTGTCATGTTGTTTGGATACCCAGATACCACTTCTCTTGCTAACTAACTCAAACTCTCGCTGCCATCTAGTCGATTCTGACTCATAGCTACCCCCATTGGACTTCCAAGGCTATAAGTCTTTACGGAAGCAGACTGCCTCATCTTTCTTTCCCAGAGCAGCTGGTGGATTAGAACCACCTAATTTGGGGTACCAGACAAATGCCTTAACCTCTACACCACCAGAGCTCCTTGCTAACTGACTAGTATTCTAAAATTAGAAATGGACTTAAGAATGTTAGTGATATGTATTATTAGTTCACTTGGGTACTAGCAGCATTTTTTTTGTTTTGTTTTTAAGATTTTGTTTTGGGTGCAAATTTACAGGGCAGAATTTGTTTTAAATTCAATAGTTCATGTACATTTGGTTTCACTCCCTGATTACCATCCCAAACCCTAACCCACTCTCCTCCTCTCCCTTCTTTGTGACCCCTCCCCCCCCAGTCCCTGTGCTCTTCTTAGTTTTGCACTCCTGTCTGTCCACCTTTCCCTCCATGAGAATGCTACCCCTCTGGTGTCCTGTGCCAGTTGCCCCAAGGGGTATATTTCTGTAGAGTAGATGGGTACATTGCCCTAGGTTGGGTGTTCTGCGTATAAGTCTTAGTACTGTTGGGCTGAGAGCCAGCCCTTGGGAGTGAGTTTTATCTCAGGCCTGAAGTGTATCCCAGGGCCATAGTCTTGGGCGTCCTACCAGACTCCATCCGACAAGTAATTCTGGTCATTATTGTGTTTTTAAATTTTGTTTCACGTTTTTCATCCAACTCTATCCAGTATCTCCAGTTTTGATCCCTTTCTGAGTGGTTGGCATTGGTAGCCGGGCCCCATTTAGTTCTGGTCTTGAGGTCCATCATCTCTTAGGGCTGATTGTTTCCAAATGCCCTTGGGTTTCTTCATTCTTCTTTGCTTCAGACAAGAGGAGACCATTAGGTGCATCTTAGATGGCTGCTGAGAAGCTTTTAAGACCACAGTCACTACTCAACAAAGTAGGTTTGGAACAAGATTTTTATTTTCTGTCTTGTTGTGCCAATTGAGCCTGGTGTTCCCCAATACTGTGGTCCTGAGTCAACAGACCCAGTTAATCCTCTCTCCCAAGGTGTTTGACTGTCTGTGAGGGATTACTCCAAGTCTGTCTTCTGTAGTTTCTGTAATGATTGTGGTTATTTTGTATTACTAATATCTGTGGAAGATTATCCTCAGCTAAATCAATCATTGGTCTAGAGTACATTCCTGTTTGCAGACCCCCATCTGATCTTCTCAGTTGTCTATGCATTTATCTGTAGCCTGGTGTTTGGTGTTAGTGGTAATGCAGTATTGTGCATATACTGGTTTTAGCCTCTGTTGTCAATATCTTATGTGCACAATTGGGTGTCCTCCCTTTCCCCAAAGTTACCATGCTGGTCACAGACTCTTTCCATACTGTCCCTCCCCTTACCCAGCTCAGTGTGTGGCTCCCAACTAGTCCATAGTTTTTCCCTCCTCTTACTTCGAATCCCCAGTAACTTACAAAGTGAGTTCCCTTCTTAAGCAAACCCTTCCTTGACTTTTTACAATAATGGGCTCATACAATATTTGTCCTTCTGCGATTGACTTACTTTATTTCACTCAGCAAAATGTCCTTCAGATTCATCCACGTCGTGAGATGATTTGTGTATTCTGCATTGTTCTTTAATGTAGCATAGTATTCCATTGTGTGAATGTACCCTAATTTGGTTATCCATTCATCTGTTGGTGGGCATTTAGGTTGTTTCCATCTCTTTGCTATAGTGAATTGTGCTGTGATGAACATGGGTGTGCATATGTCTGTTCATGTCCTGTCTATCATCTCTTTAGGTTATATTCCTAGTAATGGAATTTCTGGATCAAATGGTATTTCTGTTTTCAGTTTTTTAAGGAAATACCATATCATTTGGCACAATGGTTGTACCATTTTTCAATCCCACCAGCAGTGTATGAGAATTCCAATCTCTCTGCAACCTTGCCAGCATTTGTTATTTTCTGTCTTGTTGAACTTTACTATTACTGGTGGGGTGTTAGGGTATCTCATTGTTTTAATTTGCATCTCTCTAATGGCTAATGATGGTGTGCAATTCCTCATGTCTTTCTTGGCTGCAAGCATATCGTCTTTAGTGAAGTGTTTGTTCATGTCCCTTGCCCATTTTTGAATTGAATTGTCTGTCTTTTTTGGCATTGAGGTGTTGAATTTTTCTGTAAATTTTGGAGATAAGTCCTTTGTCAGATATATCACAGGCAAATATTTTCTCCCAATCTGTAGGTTGTCTTTTTACTCTGGTAAAGTCTTTCGATGTACATAAGGATTTAACTTTTAAAAGGTCTCAGTCATCTGGCTTCTCTTCTACCTCCTATGCATTCTGGGTTATGCTTAATAGTCTATTTATGCTGTAAATTAGGGCCTCAAGATTTCCCTGTATTTTATCTTTCATGAGCTTTATAGTTCTGGGTTTTACATTTAAGTCTTTGATCCAAGTTGAGTTTGTTTTTATGTGTGGGGTGAGGTATGGGTCTTGTTTCATTTTTCTGCGGTGGATATCCAGTTCTGCCAGCACCATTTGTTAAAGAGGCTGTCTCTTCCCTGATTAATGGATTTTGGTCCTTCGTCAAAGATCAGCGGGCCATAGATGGATGGGTCTATTTCTGGGTTTTCAATTCTGTTCCATTGGTCTATCTGTCTATCGTTGTACCTATACCATGCTATTTTAACTATTGTGACCAGCAGCAATTCTAATGCATTCTTGAACATCTAGAGCAGCACTGTCTTGTTGAAATATAATGTGGGCCACATATCAATTTTAAATTTTATTGTAGCCACATTGAAAAATGTGAAAACAGATTAAATGAATTTTAATGATGCGGTTTTTTAAAAAA